ACATTCATACATACAGACATACATACATACATACATACATACATACATACATACATACATACATACATACATACATACATACATACATACATACATACATACATACATACATACATACATACATACATACATACATACATACATACATACATACATACATACATACATACATACATACATACATACATACATACATACATACATACATACATACATACATACATACATACATACATACATACATACATACATACATACATACATACATACATACATACATACATACATACATACATACATACATACATACATACATGCATACATACATACATACATACATACATAAATACATAAATACATACATACATACATACATACATACATACATACATACATACATACATACATACATACATACATACATACATACATACATACATAAATACATACATAAATACATACATAAATACATACATAAATATATACATACATACATACATACATACATACATACATACATACATACATACATACATACATACATACATACATACACACATACACATATACACACATACACACATACATACATAAATACTTACATACACACGTAGATTACTTGTGTCTGAAGTTGCTAAGATCACAAAGTAAACAACTTCCTCTTCTAGTGTGTGTGAGGTGTGGTTTAAGTCAGTGAGGGTATCACTGGCTCTAGCACATCTATTTTTAAATCTTACAGTTGCACAACTGACGTATGACTGGTTTACTGCTAGCACCAGTCTACACCACCACCACCACCACCACACACCAACACCACCACACACCAACACAACAGGCGCGTCAATCAGGTCGATCGATACACAGATCAATATTTTAATTCGGCAATCGGTGAATGGAATAACAAGTCGTGTAGGGGAGGGGGAGGTATAATTCGGCAAACGCTTGACACTGAGGTCGCGAGAATAATTGTCACGTGTTAATATGTTGCCTAAATTGATTATAATTGTTTTTAGATATAGATGGAATTATTGTAGTTTTATATTTATTGAGAAACGCATTATAGTTTTTATATTTACAGACTAAACAGATTATACTTTTTTATATATTGCTTTAATAGATTATATTTTTTACATATTGCGAAAGAGATTATAGATTTTTTGAAAATTATTTTAGATCACCTAAACAGATTTTATTTTAAAACGTGCCAAAGAGAGTTGCAATTGAGGTGTAAGACATCCGCCTAAATTTGACTAGTCGTGCATTCTGTGCTCACCTTGCGGACTGCTAAACATGTTTCACGCGCTCCAACTGTTCAAAAAATCATTCACATTTCTTGATGCATTTCTAAATGTAGCTTTAAAAAAATAATTTTTAGTTTATTTAGGGTGTACTACATCATCTTCCCAGTTACGTCCCTTGCAGAACGTTGGGAAAAGTTAAATGGGCACTTGCATGAATAGGACCTGCACGTATGCGACAATTGTCGGAATGTGAAACTACCTAAAACATGTGTATAGTATTTTGAGATTTAATTAATTAAGCTGTAGGCCTAGAATATATAATTATCTTTAAAGAGAAAATATAGAGGGCACATCCCTTTCCAAAAGAACATTGCTATATTATAGCACAGTGAAGTCGGCCAGTTCTAGCTTTGTCCAGTATCGCCTTACTTTGACCGTCAAAAGTCTAAAATGTTTCCCAGATTTCGGACATTGGCCAGCCAGTTCGCAAACTAGCTAGTGTTGACTAGCCAAGTCTAAATTAGTTAAAGTAAATGACAGAAACAATCAAATTATTTTACTGTACTAAACGTTCAAGCTTTATTATCATATATCACAAGAAGATGAACTCATTTAGAATTACGTAGTAGCTTGTTATGTTCACATTAGCATGTTAATTGGCAAATGCTGAACTGTTCGGCTTTTATAAATAAATAAATAAATTAATTAAAAAAAAAAATATATATATATATATATAGGCCTATATATATAGAGAGTCTATATATATATATATATATATATATATATATATATATATATATATATATATATATATATATATATATATATATATATATATATATATATATATATATATATATATATATATATATATACATATTGAGGGACATTTACCGTTTTCTTTACACAATCAGTTCAAGGCAAAACGTTGAAAAAATACATTTTATTCCTAGACTTCGTGTTAACAAATACTAGTTTACCCTTTTTAATCCCAACTATTACGAACACTATTCTGTCAGTCGCAGAGCTAGCGAACGCCCCGGGTTCGTTTTGAGATGGCTATTGACAGATGACAGCTACTAAAGAGTGTAAGACACACAAAAACAACTCAACGTGGGCACGTGAATAAATTTTCACTTTAATCTGTCAACAACCTTTTAATATGAGTACAGGATTAAAAAGTGACACTAGGTCTGTACAAAATAAAATAGAATCTAAGAGTACAAAATAAACCAAAACCCAACTTACAGTTGGTGAAAAATCACTCGGTTACAAATATCACAGATATGGCACTAGGAAATGTACACAGCTTATGGCGTCACACACATGGCACTCTCTCTCTCAAGATGTCTGATAGAAGGCTGCCCAGAGCCTACGCGTTCCTGGGAGGTCAAAGTCATAAGACTATTGGTTGGGAATTTACCAAAGTTTAAAATAACCAATTAAAATTTATTGGAAAAATTCATCACATGACGTGACGGAAAAATACTAGTGATTGTACCGCAACTCTCCCAAGGTCGATTACATAAACCAAAAACTAAATTATAAAAAAAATAAGACCTAAATAGGTCACAGAACTCTCTCAAATTAAAGTAAACAATGTCTGACGTGAAGCGATGACAGCTGCTATTAATACAGCATGGCTCTACTTTGTTGTCTGATGGTTTTTATATGAGGGAAAATGTTTTGCTGTTTGGTAATAAGAAATGTATTAAAAACGTTTCTGATTTAAACATCAAACCATTCAGCTAAGCTCGAAAATCCAGCATGCTGGTAAAGAAGTAAAGTTTGAAAAACATTAATTTGGGACTCATAATCACACGTTTCGAAATAAAATCAAGAGTCAGATAAAACATGCGATTCAGTTTGAAAAAGAAAAATAGGTAAGAATATTTTTTTTTAAATTTCTATAAAAGACTAGCGGCACTTAACCCTAGGGGCGTTCAATTATTTTCGGGTAGGAGAGCATATTTTTTTTTTTTTTAATATTTTATGTTTATTAATTTAACCAAGCTGCCAGTTTATTCATCCTCCTTTGAGCGAAGACGGGCATTTGGATTTGTCACTTTAATGGCTAGTTGCTGGGCACGCTCAACAATATCTTTACGCTTCTTACTTGAGACGTTGTGTGCAATTTCAGCAGAGAAAGTGCGGTTTTGCATCAACAATACTTCCAGCTCCCTAACATTATGAACCAAAATCTTGTTGAAGCCATCAGGACAGAGGTGCTTGCATTTCTTCCAGGTACCATAACCAATGTTTGGCATTTTATATTGACCCTTGAACCTCCTCCTTACTCTGTTGTCAATACCCTTGGGTTTACGCCAGTTTGCCTTGACTTTGCCATATCTGTCAGATTGGTGTCTAATAAATTTCTTATTCCTCTTCTTTACAATCTGAGTTTTGATGAGAGGTCTGATCGCCATTTTTGGTGACCTGTTTCAATAATCTAAACAAGAAAAAGGTAGGAGAGCATATATATAATATATAAAGCTCAGTTCTGTATGTAACGCATATGTTTGTCGTTGGTCTTGGATGGATTTAAGTGTTAGACAATTATCGTGCGCATTTGTCTAAATTTATGAGTTAAAAAAATTCTATTGAAAGTGTTGGGAAATAATTTTCATTTTTCAAATTATAGTAATAATTGTCGGCATGTTCATTAAACACAAGTTTTAAAAAAATATCATCTTTTACAAAAATTCTAATTATGTCTTTATTTAGTCCTATAGCACTTACTTCCCTTTGATAAATTAGGAAAACACAATTACTTCCCTTTATAAAACCATTTGTGGAAAAGAATTTACTTTTTAATTACTTTGTTTTGGTGTTGGGAAAAAAAATAATTACATAATTAGCGGGGATTGATCAAGTGCAAATGTTGTAGGTATTTTACGGATAAGCTTGGAGTATTAAAATTGTTCATTAAATTGAAACAGGCGCGTTCGTTTAAGTGAGTGCAAAAGACTATGAATAAGTTGGGGTACTATAGTCGTTCATTAAGCTAAAACAGGTGATTCCGCCCCGGGCGTTTATGTTCGCGTTAGTGTTTTCTTTATGTTTAGGTGGGTTTGCGTTAGTGGTTGCGTTTTGATTTGGTTCGTTTTTGTTCTTTCTTTTTTCGTTTTTGTTTGTGTTTTTTTTTTTGTTTGGGTTTGTATTTGTGTTTTTGGTTGGTATTGCGTTTGGATTTGGTTTGTTTTCGTTTGCTTTTTCGTTGTTGTTTTTTGTTGGTATTGGTGTTTGTGGTTGGGTTTGTTGTTAGGTTTTTGTTTTCGTTTGCTTTTTTGTTTGTTTTTTCTTTGTGTTTGTATTGGTGTTTGTGGTTGTGGTTGGGTTTGTTGTTAGGTTTTTGTTTTCTTTTGTCATTGTAATTGTGTTAGCGTTATGTTAGCGTTTTGTTGTTTTGGTTGGTTGTGGTTTGAGTGGGCAATGCCGGGTTTATGATGATTACTAAACACACAGGTAATGGTCTTTAACAGAAAGGTTTTTCACAGAAGCCAGAGCAGGGCCTGGCCGGGACGGCTAGTATATATATATATATATATATATATATATATATATATATATATATATATATATATATATATATATATATATATATATATATATATATATATATATATATATATATATATATATATTTATATATATGTGTGTGTGTGTGTGTGTGTATTCCTGTATATGTGTGTGTGTGTGTGTGTTTGCGTATGTATACATATAGCTGCTGCAAACACATTTAAAAGTTCTTTTTGAAGTACAGAACAGAACAGAAATCAGAACATACAAGAAACCATCATGCAGAACAAATACACACAAAAATGTACCAAACGCAACAATATTTTTTTAAAACGTATTTCTCTATGTTGTAAAATGTATTTTTCCACTTTCAATAATATTAAAAAGGTTTACGAGCGCGATCACAAGTAGGGCAAATAATAAAACTTTTAACAATTCCGTTCATATATTTAATTACTTCTTTCAAATTGTATTTTAAACAAAGCTATTTTCAAAACAATATTTAAAATAACTGTTTTCGGTTAATTTTACAACACTTTACTGTTTCTTTCAATTAATATATTACGAGTAAATAGGCTATGAGTTTCTACGATGAAGCACGTTTCTAGGGGCCCGTGTTTGTAGGGCCCCGAGTTTGTAGGGCCCCGTGTTTCTAGGGGGCCGTGTTTCTAGGGGCCCGTGTTTCTAGGGGCCCGTGTTTGTAGGGGCACGTGTTTGTAGGGGGCCGTGTTTGTAGGGGCCCGTGTTTCTAGGGGCCCATGTTTCTAGGGGGCCGTGTTTCTAGGGCCCCGTGTTTCTAGGGGGCCGTGTTTCTAGGGGCCCGTGTTTCTAGGGGCCCATGTTTCTAAGGGCCCGTGTTTGTAGGGGCCCGTGTTTGTAGGGGGCCGTGTTTGTAGGGGCCCGTGTTTCTAGGGGCCCATGTTTCTAGGGGGCCGTGTTTCTAGGGGCCCATGTTTGTAGGGCCCGTGTTTCTAGGGGGCCGTGTTTCTAGGGGGCCGTGTTTGTAGGGGCCCATGTTTCTAGGGGCCCGTGTTTCTAGGGGGCCGTGTTTCTAGGGGACCGTGTTTCTAGGGGCCCATGTTTCTAGGGGCCCGTGTTTCTAGGGGCCCATGTTTCTAGGGGCCCGTGTTTCTAGGGGCCCATGTTTCTAGGGGGCCGTGTTTCTAGGCGCCCGTGTTTGTAGGGCCCCATGTTTCTAGGGGCCCGTGTTTCTAGGGGCCCATGTTTCTAGGGGGCCGTGTTTCTAGGGGCCCGTGTTTGTAGGGCCCCGTGTTTCTAGGGGCCCGTGTTTGTAGGGCCCGTGTTTCTAGGGGCCCGTGTTTGTAGGGGCCCGTGTTTCTAGGGGGGCGTGTTTCTAGGGGCCCGTGTTTCTAGGGGCCCGAGTTTGTAGGGGCCCGTGTTTGTAGGGGCCCGTGTTTGTAGGGGCCCGTGTTTGTAGGGGCCCGTGTTTGTAGGGGCCCGTGTTTCTAGGGGCCCGTGTTTGTAGGGGCCCGTGTTTGTAGGGGCCCGTGTTTGTAGGGGCCCGTGTTTCTAGGGGCCCGTGTTTCTAGGGGCCCGTGTTTGTAGGGCCCCGTGTTTCTAGGGGCCCGTATACTTTGTCCACCTCGGTTAAATGGTTGTTACGTAATCTGTCTGTAAATATTTATGTGAACCCCTAAAATTTCGCTACTGCCCCCCCCCCCCCCCCCCCTTTTGGGCTCCCTTAATCCGTCAGTGTTTGTAGGTGCGTGTGTCTGTGTGTGTGTTTGTATGTGTGTATTAGCTCATTCATTAATTATGGGATATCAATATAGGCTAATCTAAAGATCAGTCTGCAATTAGGACAGTAATAATTTTTTAGGAAAATTCTTCTTGCAATAAACCTTGAAGCGTGAATTGTCGGGTGCCCAATGATTCTATCTGACCCTGTAACAAACTTGATTACTCGCTTAACTTAATGTGCTGATCAAAGTACCGTTTGATTTGAAGTAAGTGTTTATGCTTTTTAACTTTGAATTTATACTTTAAGTGGAGCAAATTTGTGAATGTCTTTTGAAAGACATCTAATACATCCTTAAATTGCAAAATTTTTAAAAATTTATTGAAGAAATTTTTAAAAAGTGTACAAGACAATTTTATTTGTGAAAACTTTGATTTATGTACTTGTGAAAACTTTGATTTGTGTACTTGTGAAAACTTTGATTTGTGTACTTGTGAAAACTTTGATTTTTGTACATGTGAAAACTTTGATTTGTGTACATGTGAAAACTTTAATTTGTGTACTTGTGAATCGAGTCCATTGTATTAGTGGCGGCTTGTGTTAACCTGGAACCAGACCGTCATAGCTACATCGAGGGTCTAAACTTTTAGTTTTTCTATTTGAAAGGTTTAAAGGATGGATTGTTCCAGAGTGTTAGCCGTGTTTCTCTTATTTATCTTACCTCAAGGTCAGTGCTGAAATATTTTTTATTAGCTCAGGTGGGCGGAGCTTTAGCCCAGGTGGGCGGAGCTTTAGCCCAGGTGGGCGGAGCTTTAGCCCAGATGGGTGGAGCTTTAGCCCAGGTGGGCGGAGCTTTAGCCCAGGTGGGCGGAGCTTTAGCCCAGGTGGGTTGAGCTTTAGTACCGGGATGGGAGTACGCCCTTATAAGATTATTTACTAATTAACTCATGTTCAAATATGGAGTGTGATCCACAACGTCACCAATTACGTAATCCATTATCTCACCCATAACGTCACCCATAATGTCACCCATAATGTCATAAACTAAATTTCCTGAGCGCTAATAATCAGGGGCGGAACTACAATGCCGCCAGACCCCGCAATGCGGGGAGGGGGGGTGCACGACATTTAGGGGCCCTCATCTTGACCATAATAATTAATTTTTATATAGTTAAAAAAATAATTTTCTTGCATTTTTGACTTGATGGTTGTTTTGTAAAAAGATTACCGTAGCTTCGGTTGAATTATCTTTATTCTATAGACACCACCCCACGCTCTTATATATTCTTTTTCCCTTTGTTTTTAAACCACTGTGAAAGCCGAGTCCTCTTTCTCCTACAATCAAACTTATCAAAGATAAGCAAGCGTTCAAACCACTTCCATGACTTATTTCCCTTTTTAATTAGAAAAAATAGGGGTGCTCACAAGCTCCTTTTAATCGATTTGTACTAAAGAAATTAAAAAGCAATTGCCTCTGTTAATTATTTTTTTTATAAAGTAGGCCCCTACTTACTAAAGAATTACATTGTATAAAACGGAAATGTATTTAAAATTAACTAGGCATGCTGCCCAGCTTTGCTTAGGCTTTCGAAAACATTGAGAATTTGAATGCTTAATTAATTCGCCCGAGGGTCGGTCTACGACCTCAGGAGTTATGAAGAGGTTCCTCCGTGGACATTTTTTTTCGATTTATAGCTCATATAAGGCGCCGGTCAGTCGAGGTCAGTTTTGACCCCATCATCGTAGACTTTTCGGCCGACCGGCCCCCGTGTTCTGTCGCCCCAAGGCAAGATCCTGCCAAATTTGAAGCGCCTGCGGCGCCGGGAAGTGCCCTATCGGGCACCCGACAACTTTGCTTTATATATTATATAGAGATTAGCAAATTGCATAGATAAACAAAGATTTCAATAAAGTAATTAAGGCCTGAAATACTTTAGTATAGAAATGTATTATTTGAATAGATGAATCTAGAATATCTAAATCTAGAATCCAAATAAATAAAATAAATTTTATGAGTTTAGGCCGGAAAAATTGTATTGTATACATTTCATAGTGTACTTAGATCTAAATCAAATTTGAATGAAATAGTTCATTTCTTTTTATTCTAAACACGGCAGATGACGTCATTAGTTAATGTATAGGCAATAGTGACGTCACAGTTTTATGCGTTCTTTTTCAAATCTATTAATGCTTTTCCGGTTGCATAAATAATACTGTTTCTCTACATTCGAATACGCCTTTAATTTTTATTTTTCTTCTTTAAATAAAATTGTGGTTATACGTTTAAAACATCTAACATATTATTTTCAACAAAAGTCCGTATAAAGTTCTCCATATATCGCTGCCGTTTCTGACGTGATGTCCGGCGAAAATATTTTGCGGACAGACAGAGAGAGAGAGAGAGAGAGAGAGAGAGAGAGAGAGAGAGAGAGAGGAGAGAGAGAGAGAGAGAGAGAGAGAGAGAAGTGCGCACATGGGGAATTATATATTAGGATGATATAAAAAAAACAACAACATAAAAATAAACATAACACGAGACACCATTACTTATACACAGCTTTTATGTTTTATATTCTTTTGACCGTCTAAAGTTTAAGAGGTCTTATAGCAGAGATAAAATAAAACTGAATTTCACAAAACACACTAATGCACCTACACACATGACATGATGTTGTAATTTGTATTAATCTAAAAAAAAACATTTTTTTTTCAAAACCCGAAAAGGCCAGCAATGAGTATCCTATATAAATAAATAAATAAATAAATAAATAAATAAATATATATATATATATATATATATATATACATATATATATATATATATATATATATATATATATATATATATATACAAACATATATAGGCTTTTATATATATATATATATATATATATATATATATATATATATATATATATATATATATATGGGGGGGCTAAAAAAAATTGCGGGGTGGCTTTTTTTCTAGTTCCGCCAGTGCTAATAAACTTTATTTTGATTGTGTTAGCGTTTGTGATGGTGTTTGATATTGTGTTTGTGATTGGGTTTGGGTTTGGGATTGGGATTTTTATTCTGATTGTGATTCTGATGGTGTTTGAGTTTGTGTTTGTGATTGTGATTGTGACTGTGTTTGTCTGGTTCTAAAGGGCTTCTTCTCTACACAGGTTACACGGCTATTGATACGACAACAGATGCTAGGTAGGTGACATGTAACATGTGACATCTATGTAACCGGCGTGTGACATGTATGTAACAGGCGTGTGACATGTATGTAACCTGTGTGTGACAAGTATGTAACAGGCGTGTGACATGTATGTAACCGGCGTGTGACATGTATGTAACCGGCGTGTGACATGTATGTAACCGGCGTGTGACATGTTTGTAACCGGTGTGTGACATGTTTGTAACCGGTGTGTGACATGTATGTAACCTGTAGATAGTGCGGTGTGACAGGCAGGTTAATATTAGTGATAACATTGTCAGCCCAGCGATAACTAATTATTATAAAGTGTAACCCACTCACAGATGTGTGACAGTGATGTGTGACTGTGATGTGTGACAGTGATGTGTCACTGTGATGTGTGACAGTGATGTGTGATAGTGATGTGTGACTGTGATGTGTGACAGTGATGTGTGACAGTGATGTGTGAATGTGATGTGTGACAGTGATGTGTGACAGTGATGTGTGACAGTGATGTGTGACAGTGATGTGTGACAGTGATGTGTGACAATGATGTGTCACTGTGATGTGTGACAGTGATGTGTGACAGTGATGTGTGACAGTGATGTGTGACAGTGATGTGTGACAGTGATGTGTTACAGTGATGTGTGACAATGATGTGTGATAGTGATGTGTGACAGTGATGTGTGACAGTGATGTGTGACAGTGATGTGTGACAGTGATGTGTGACAGTGATGTGTGACATTGATGTGTGACAGTGATGTGTGACAGTGATGTGTGACAGTGATGTGTGACAGTGATGTGTGACAGTGATGTGTGACAGTGATGTGTGACAGTGATGTGTGACTGTGATGTGTGACTGTGATGTGTGGTTGTGATGTGTGACAGTGATGTGTGACAATGATGTGTGGTTGTGATGTGTGACTGTGATGTGTGACAGTGATGTGTGACTGTGATGTGTGACAGTGATGTGTGACAGTGATGTGTGACTGTGATGTGTGACTGTGATGTGTGGTTGTGATGTGTGACAGTGATATGTGACAATGATGAATGACTGTGATGTGTGACAGTGATGTGTGACAGTGATGTGTGACAGTGATGTGTGACAGTGATGTGTGACAGTGATGTGTGACAGTGATGTGTGACAGTGATGTGTGACAGTGACTAATCTTTGCCCCCAGCTCTATCACAGTGGGTGCTGCTGTAGGGGGCAGTACAGGCGGCATCGTTGTTCTGGCCATCATCTGTTTGTGTCTGTGTTGCCACCATGAGAAGAAAAACCAAGTGCAGGTCATCACGACAGTCTCACGCTACTAGGTCAGTGGTCAGTGTTAGGTCAGTCTCGCTACTAGGTCAGTGGTGAGTTTAAGGTCAGTCTCGCTACTAGGTCAGTGGTGAGTTTAAGGTCAGTCTCGCTACTAGGTCAGTGGTGAGTTTAAGGTCAGTCTCGCTACTAGGTCAGTGGTGAGTTTAAGGTCAGTCTCGCTACTAGGTCAGTGGTGAGTTTAAGGTCAGTCTCGCTACTAGGTCAGTGGTCAGTTTAAGGTCAGTCTCGCTACTAGGTCAGTGGTCAGTTTAAGGTCAGTCTCGCTACTAGGTCAGTGGTCAGTTTAAGGTCAGTCTCGCTACTAGGTCAGTGGTCAGTTTAAGGTCAGTCACGCTACTAGGTCAGTGGTCAGTTTAAGGTCAGTCACGCTACTAGGTCAGTGGTCAGTTTAAGGTCAGTCTCGCTACTAGGTCAGTGGTGAGTGTTAGGTCAGTCTCGCTACTAGGTCAGAAGTATTTGGACCGTAATGTTCATTAGTTAAATGACCATTAATCTAATTAACGCAGTCTTTAATTGATTATAACTTAACGCCGCAGAAGTGAGTGAGGTCAGAGCGTTCGTCGCCTTCAAAAACAGATGGCTGGATGTCAAACAACATCAGAACATCAGACAACATCGGACAACATCAGACAACATCAGACAACATCAGACAACATCAGACAACATCAGACAACATTAGCAGATCAAAACATCAGCACATCAGCCCTGAAACCACTTTTCTAAATTAGCAATTGTGTGCTCTACTGCTTGACCAAGAAATCCCAATTTAATATTGTACGTCATTGTAAATATAAATAAATAAATAAATAAATATATATATATATATATATATATATATATATATATATATATATATATATATATATATATATATATATATATATATATATATATATATATATACATATATATACATATATATATATATGTTCAACAGTCATCAGTTACTTACACACATTTCATATATCTGTACTGTTTGCTTTCTGGAAGCTGAAATGCCCTAAATATGTCCATAAAATGTCCTAAATATGTCCTTAATCTGTCAAGTATTAAAATTTATTTATTTTTATTGTGTTCTTGTGTATGTGTTCATTCAAATATTTTAAAAGCTGTGGTGATTGAGGAAGCTGAAGGGTGTTTTTGCAAATTTTGTTTGAAGCAACTCTCACATGTTCTAGACCGCTAAAGTCTCGAGTTCAAATCCAGGTTGAAGTCCGTAGGGAGTCACTGAGTTCACCCAGCTTTAATGGGTACCTGACTCACTGACGGGTATCTAACTCACGTTATTGAAAGTAAAGGCGGCATTAAACAGATAAAGTAGTAGGCCTAGTGATTAGCCTAGTGATTAGCCTAGTGATTAGCCTAGTGATTAGCCTAGTGATTACCCTAGTGATTACCCTAGTGATTAGCTTAGTGATTAGCCTAGTGATTAGCTTAGTGATTAGCCTAGTGATTAGCCTAGTGATTAGCCTAGTGATTAGCCTAGTGATTAGCCTAGTGATTAGCCTAGTGATTAGCCTAGTGATTAGACTAGTGATTAGCCTAGTGATTAGCCTAGTGATTAGCCTAGTGATTAGCCTAGTGATTAGCCTAGTGATTAGCCTAGTGATTAGGCTGTAACCTAAAATATAATTGTCAGTGTTTGTCTGCAGGATTTAATATTTATTTTTATTGCTTAAATAAGTATTACTAGACAGATGAAGTATATTCTAATCAGTGGCGTAGCTAGGATTTTCGGGCCCCTATGCAAAAATTATCAGTGGGCCCCTTTGTCAACCGTTAGGCTACAATGGAGTTAACGAAGAAATCAACTGCTACTTTTGATGGAGGATTTTAAAGTAATCAAATATAGTAGTGTGATTTAAGGCGGGGGGGGGGGGGCAGAGGTGTGGTCCGCATTGATGATAACATTTAGGCGTGACTCCATGATAAAAAATTGTAGAATATACAGTAAAAACTAAGTTGTATCCAGCTAAAATAATAAAAGATTAGTGAGAGAGGGGTGACACACTACTGAAAATGCAAAATTGTTGGGGACGATGGGGTGATACCTTTAGTAAACGCGTAGGGTAACACCCGACTTTGTGACGCCACTAACCAAACACATTCAAAAATTGCTCAAGATTTATTTAGATCTGTTTTTTATGGTTTTAATTGTGTAAATTGATTGATAAGTTCATTGAGATCTACTTTAGCTGCTTCTGTATGCTTGATCCTTGGGATGGCCAAGCTACTGACCCAATGTGCATATCTAGGATTTGTTTCATAATAAATAACATCATTATATTCATAATGAGCAAATATTGATATTTAAAAATTCCATCATTGACATCAAAGTCCCGTTCCCGATCACTGTGGAATGTTAGAGAATGTTTAAACTAACTAGCGTACTCGTCCGCGTTGCTACGATCTAGTCCCACATACCATAGTAATAAAACAATTTGTAAGGGTTTCATCAGCGTGTTACCAATTGCGTATTTTTAGTATATTGCGTATTGCGTATATTTTCACTGTTGAATCAAGTAGTACCCCTGACACTGCAGGACGCCACTGTTGTAGTTTGATTGTTGAATCAAGTAGTACACCTGACACTGCAGGACGCCCAATCAACGGATCTCGTGCACACTGGGAGCTGCTGGGTAACTTGGGGCACCCATACGTTACTACTGTTGATGCGCAGGAGGACACCCGTTCATCAATTAAGTAATCGACTTTAGTATTCCAAGGTATCTCTAGTGTATGGCGCTCATTAAAACGAATATAGGCGCCGAAGGGCTCATGTGGGAGCACGACCGACGGGTGCCGGCTTATGCATCTGTGCGGTTTGACCGCTGAATCAAGTAGTAACGCCGACCCGCTGCTCCGGACACCCAATAAACGGGCCTAAGGTGCAAAAATAGCCGCTGGGGAACTATGGATGGCAAACTGCACCGCCTTACTGATGGGGCGTCGCCCTCAGAAATCAAATAAAAATTTACTTGCAGAAACCTTCCCAAAAGTCGGAGTTTTTTTCAGGCACCTTTTCAGGAAAATTGTCTGGGGAAAAACACCTCATTAGGACTATCCAAAGTTTCTTGGCGATTTGATGAAAACCAAAAACTTATAGTCTTAGTAGCGCCATATTGATTAAAGATTAATTAGATCAATAAATGAAATGTCATTAAGGTAAAGAAAAATATATACAAATTTTGGACTCAGCTGGTTGTGAAAACACTGACCATGGTAATGTTTTTTTTAAATAGCTCAATTATTTGCCTGGATGTTTAGTGAGATAGAAATTCGTGGAGGGCAGACAGTTGGGAGAAAGGTTCAGATCTGCGGTGTGGGGTAGGGAATTTCCCAGTTAGTTGAGGTTTGTAGCAATGGATGTAAATTTAGGGATGCTGAACTCACAAAAGAGTCAAAGTTCAAGTTTATTTATAGGCTAATTCTCTTAATGGCTTGCATGACCATGCGGCAAAGCCTTTAGTGATTTTATTACGGATGGGCCCTGTTCGACCCCCCCCCCCCCCACACACACACTGAATCACGCTACTTGTAAAGTAAGAAATGACTGGAGGCCTTTTTGGGACTTTTAATTATTTATATAATAGAAAATAAACTGGATTTTCATTTTCTTTTTTAATTTATTTATATAAAACAAATATTAAAATTCCAATGTAAAAGTTTTAATTAATTTTAAAAGGGAAAAGGGCACCTAAATGCCTTGGGCCCCTATGCCTTGCTTACGCTAGCTTTACGGTAGCTACGCCACTGATTCTAATTGCAATAATAATGTCTTATTTCTTTGACTAAGGCTAATAAAGCGGTTGTGTGGTAAACATTAAAAGTCAGCATCTCAAGCCAGTGACCCATAAGGCTTACTTTACCGAACTTTACCGAACTTTACCGAACTTTACCGACCTTTACCGAACTTTACCGAGCTCAAGTTTTAAAAAAAAACGATTAGTCAAAGAAATTGAAAAATTAAAAATAAATTGTTAGACATATCCATGCAGTATATTAGTCGTCTGAACACACAGAGGTGTCAACATTTGGTACAGCCCGGACACACAGAGGTGTCAACATTTGGTACAGCCCGGACACACAGAGGTGTCAACATTTGGTACAGCCTGAACACACAGAGGTGTCAACATTTGGTACAGCCCGGACACAGAGGTGTCAACATTTGGTACAGCCCGGACACACAGAGGTGTCAACATTTGGTACAGCCTGAACACAGAGGTGTCAACATTTGGTACAGCCTGAACACACAGAGGTGTCAACATTTGGTACAGCCCGGACACACAGAGGTGTCAACATTTGGTACAGCCCGGACACACAGAGGTGTCAACATTTAGTACAGCCCGGACACACAGAGGTGTCAACATTTGGTACAGCCCGGACACACAGAGGTGTCAACATTTGGTACAGCCCGGACACACAGAGGTGTCAACATTTGGTACAGCCTGAACACAGAGGTGTCAACATTTGGTACAGCCTGAACACAGAGGTGTCAACATTTGGTACAGCCTGAACACACAGAGGTGTCAACATTTGGTACAGCCCGGACACACAGAGGTGTCAACATTTGGTACAGCCCGGACACACAGAGGTGTCAACATTTGGTACAGCCCGGACACACAGAGGTGTCAACATTTGGTACAGCCCGGACACACAGAGGTGTCAACATTTGGTACAGCCCGGACACACAGAGGTGTCAACATTTGGTACAGCCTGAACACAGAGGTGTCAACATTTGGTACAGCCCGGACACACAGAGGTGTCAACATTTGGTACAGCCTGAACACAGAGGTGTCAACATTTGGTACAGCCCGGACACACAGAGGTGTCAACATTTGGTACAGCCAGGACACACAGAGGTGTCAACATTTGGTACAGCTCAGCTGACACAGATGACGCTAAAATATTTATTGAATTTGAAAACGTTGAAATGTTTAGCATGACACTCAAGTCGGGCGACACAGTCAATAGCTGTAAATAATGTGTCACATCAGACGTGTGTACAGGTTTTCGAGTTAAGGGTTCAGGGTCAGGCGCCGATAAGTGTTTTAAAGCAAATATTTTCAGTGGCAGCATTGGTACTGTCGAATTCACAAATTATAAATTACTGAAAAGTAGAAAATAAAACAACTAAATAGTGGCGTATGATACGCCGCTGGTCGGCTCGTATTTAAAATCTCCTAAATAGGAGATCTACTGCCTGACCCTGGATCTAGCCCACCAACACTCTACTCCACCTACTGCCTGATCTAGCCCATCAACACTCTACTCCACCTACTGCCTCACCCTTGATCTAGCCCACCAACACTCTACTCCACCTACTTCCTGATCTAGCCCACCAGCACTCCACTCCACCTACTGCCTGATCTAGCCACCAACACTCTACTCCACCTACTGCCTGATCTAGCCCACCAACACTCTACTCCACCTACTGCCTGATCTAGCCCACCAACACTCTACTCCACCTACTGCCTGATCTAGCCCATCAACACTCTACTCCACCTACTGCCTCACCCTTGATCTAGCCCACCAACACTCTACTCCACCTACTTCCTGATCTAGGCCACCAACACTCTACTCCACCTACTTCCTGATCTAGCCCACCAACACTCTACTCCACCTACTGCCTGATCTAGCCCACAAACACTCTACTCCACCTACCACC